AAAAAAGTTACAAGTCAAAATTACTCAAAAATTTGATAGTCTCCCGGAGTCAACCCATATTTGGGGGCACCGGAAGTGTCAAGATCCTCAGGTAACTTAAGAGACGAGCTGCTCAGTATAGTGAGACATTACGATCAAGGAACAAAAAGTATAAACTTAACCCGCAATCTTAAAAGACGCAACACGCCTTCAATGCACCTGCACAAAAGAGTTAACTCGCAAACTAGCATTACCCGAGTGGTGCTTTGTTTTCCTTAAACGGTAATTAATTCCCCATGGACTGGTGTTCATTTTCCCACAAACGGGTATTTTAAAAAAATATTTTAAAAAAAAATTCCACACGAGTCTGTATTTTTCCCCGAGCGATACTTAATTTTCCCATGAACTAGTACGCGCGCTTTCTCGAGCATATATTTAAAAAATTTCTTCAAACTTGCCCAAAAAATATATACCTTAATTTTCCCATGAACTAGCAGCTCTAGTATATATATCTTTAATGACTTGATATAAGTAAAATCAACACATTTCTTTTTTAAAACTCTCCAAAGCATACTCTTTGAATTTTATCATAATTTTTTTTCTAAATCAACAAAACTCATATGTAGATCCTCCTTGCTCTCTGTCTATTTCTTCATCAAACCTCTCGTTAAATGTATAGCTTTTATAGTAGACTTGCCCCAACATGAATCAAAATTGATTGTGAGATTTTTTTTTTATCCCGTTGCAGCTTATGTTTAATTATTCTCTCATAACTTTAATGTATGAAACAAAAACTTAATTCATCTATAATTTGCACACTAATGTGAGTCACTTTTATTTTTAAAAATAGAGACTAATAAACTCTTTCTCCACTCATCAAACATTTTTAGAATTTTTAAAATAATATTAAAATTTAAGTAAATAAAAAATTTATCAAATCTACTAGTTATTTTCACACTTCTATTAGAATAATATCAGGTCCTACTACTTTTCCATACTATATTTTTTTAAAGTCCCATCAATTTTTGTTTTATAAATGTGATGGTTAAAATAAAAAATTTTGTTATTATTTATGATACTAAGATCACTAAATTTAATTGTATTTTCATAATCTTCATTAAAAAAATATTATTAAAATATATCACACACCTATGTTAAATATTCTCCTGTAAAAAAGCCACTCTTTAATTTTCATTCTTAATACCCTTTACTTGAACTAATCTTTATTTTTTTATCGCTTTGCTCGACTAATTTATACATATATCTTTCACCATATTTAATATTGAATATATTATAAAGATCACTAAAACATAACTCTTAGCATCTCAAATTGTTTTCGTAGACTCCTTACGAGTCCCTTTATATTTTTTTTAAATTGTCTGAATATTTACATCTAAATCAATTTTTATAATAAAATACTTTATTTTTTTATATTTTCTTACATAATATTATTCCATCACGAATTATTTTTTCTTCATAAGAGTTTTTTCTTTTGATTCTCCGAACACATATTTTGCAAGTGTTTGATATTTTTCTATTATCTCACATAGTATTAGCTAGTTCATCAACAACTCAAAGCTTAAGATCTTTAAATTAAATTATAGAAATTAATTTATTTGTGACTATTAAGTACCTCGTATAATTTGTGATAATATTTTGATGTACTTTTCATCTTTCAACATTTCATCTTAAAATTCAAAACCAACAATCAATGTTATGTACTTATATTTTACTTGAAATGATCTTACAATCTTTATAATCTCAAAAATTTATTTTTTCACAAAAAATGAATGATTTGTGTTTTATTAAGTTTATTTTTATAACTAATTATATATATTTTTAAATAAAATATTAAAAGTAACAAAATCATTAGTTAAAGTAAAATGCAATATGATTCTACCTTCTCCCTTAGTCGCTCCAAAATCATATTCATCATAAATATTTCTGAAATTTTCTATCACTCTACCAACATGTTTATTTATGTCTTCTCCAATAGAAATTTTTTATTCAAGGGGATATTTATATTAATTATTCTAGATCATTCCAACTTTTTTTAAACACATATTCAAACATTCTTTAAAGAACATAAACACTTAAAATATTAAGAATCTTAGTATCGACAATAATCTTTAAATTTATAATTATATCTTCAATTCTATTAGTTTTTACAGCATTATCTATTAAAAATTTATCTATAGTTACATCAACATCAATTTTAGTATAACTCTTACCTAAATGCAAATTTTAAAATTTAAGTTATCAAATTCCTCAGTCTTTTCTCCAAGTCATTTAATTTCTTGAAGGCATGTGATATTTGTCTTCTTATGAACTACAATATCTATTGATTTCATTAATTTATCTTTGAGAATACCTATATTCTATTTTTTTATCATATTATTAATTTAATTGTCTAATTTCTTTGTTAACACCCATTCATTATTTATTTAACAATACGCTCAAATGTTGGTAAAACGACCTTCGCACATTTTTACAGTATTTAGGTTATACAGCGAGTTGTTTTTCAATAAGCGCCCTGTCATAGCATTAGCCCAATGATTTAAAAGATTCATGTCATAATTTTTAGATTAAAATTTTTATGTTAGTTATCGACTAGCTAACTTATCAATCGCCATTTAAATGAAAATACAAGGGAATGCAACAAACACTATTTATACTATTTATCCCATTTTATGTCATTTAAGAAGTAATCATCATCCTATAAAAAAAATTTTATGAACCTAAACACTCTTTTAATCCCTAAAAATATATAACAGGAATTATCCAGTGATAAATGGAAGAAAGCCAAAGATTAATGCCAAACATAAAATTCAAGGTCCCACAGATTTTAATATGAAATGAGATTAAGATACGATGAATTCTTGCCAACTAGAAAAATCATGATCCTACAAATTCATGACAAGTAAAAAAAACTAATTTTAAAAATTTGCATTTATTTGTAAAAGTATAGTTTTTTTCACTATTTCATTATTCAATCAGTCATAAAAATGCCTTGTATCAAAATACCTTGCAAAATAAGAAAAAAATATTTTTCTAGCTTTATGTTCTCCAAATAAAATACATTGGTGAGATTTAAGAAACCTTTTTTTCTTGCCAATTATTTAGTGGTGAATCATGTCTACTATACTCCCATATATGGAGGATCCGGTGAATAGCAAATTCCAAATTTTCTCAAATGGTGTTACCATCTTTTACAATTTTGTGGATTTTTTTTTTCTTTCTTTTTTTTTTTTACAAGAACATAGGAGTCAGGCACATTGTTAAGAATGGTCATAAAAATCTCCAAATATTTTCCATATTCTAAAATAATTCTATATGTTTCCTTATTTTTTAAAATCCTTCCTTATTTAATTTCTTTTTTTTCTCATTTTCTATTTCTGATATATATATATATATATATATATATATATATATATAAGGAAATATTAATCTGTACATCATATATATATATATATATATATATATATATATATATCTTAAGAGTATTTCTCAACTTTTATACTTAATCTAATAGCATGCAAGCAGCAAGATTATATGAATATTTGAACTAGACATTGTTTTTGCACGGTTTTAAAGCAAGTGTTAAATTTAAAGCATTATTACATTAGTCAAACTGCCCCTGAAAGTCAAACACAGGACTTTCGAAGCATTTCTAATTTCATTTTTCATATTCTTGCTAGCACTTACATATGTTCATTGAAATATGCTTGGGAATTTGCATTTTGGCAACTTGGCACGCTTTTAGGAGTGTGCTTGTGTGCTTTTCTGCAAAACATAATTTAAAATTGAATTTTGCCTCATCAAATGTGCCCTCCACTAAAACTATTCAGGTTTATTTCTTGCTCTTTGGCAGCAATTGCGTTGTTTTTGGGTTGTACACACAATTTTGTAATTGTGCATATCTTATTTTGTTTAGTCCATTTTATGCTATTACAGTTTGATATTACATATATCCCTCATCTAGACATCAAAAGATAGGCCTTCCCTGATTTTCTTGCAGCTCATCCAATCCCGACTAATTTGCCTCTTCATGATGATCTCGTGGATAAGCCCTTATTAGTAACTGATAATTAAGAATGGGAACTATACTTTGTCGGGGCAGCTTTGTATATGCAAGCTTTGTGATGTAACTTGTGGATTCATTCGTGCTCACAAATGTGCATGTATAAGTCAATCTTAATATTTTGGCAAGTGCTCAAAATAAGATTATATTATTTGTAATTTGTTTGCATTAATGCCTACATGCTCCACTAGAGGAAGAATTGACACTTAAAAATAGATGTGTCAAAATTTAGATAGATGTGTTAGTTTTTTTTTTCTTTTTTTTCTTTTAATAATGATTATACCTGTCAGAACCTTATTAGTTTACTCCAATCGAAACTACGAACATAAAGTTTGTTGGTTGTTTCCCTAATAGCTCGAATCAAACACTAGCCTTCTTGCTTATCTGCATTTGACACTCCATGACATACTTCCATTGCCACTTCTTTCACCCTTGACATTTACTCACCATTTATTCCTTTTTTTACCTCATCCTTCAACACTGCGTCTATCGATGTTGCTACCACAGCTGTCATCTTTAGAGCTCCTTCAAAAGAGAGACAACCTGGGAATCTCTTAAGGAGCTATAATAGATGAAAAAGGTTTCATAATTTCAGCTTTCATTCAGCAGAAATATCTCGGCAAAACATTCCTCCAAATTCAACCGCATAGCAGCACCTTCATAAAAGAAGGATAGTTTTAAGGATAACTTATGCACCAGAATCCACAATATCCAATTCCAACAGGCCACAAAAAAATGAGGGACTCCATACACAATGCAACGGCTGAAATTTTAGCATAAGTAGCATATTACTTGAATAAAAAAATAAATGCAAGCTACGCTTGTGGAAATTTGGCAACTCCAAGCCTAAATGCAGAACAATGACAATATTTAATATGACTTTGCATAAAATTGTATATCTGCAATTATGCTGTACCACAATATTGTAAAAATAACTTACCCTCTTCAGAATATTAACCCTATCTTGGAGCCCATCCACAGCAAGATCATTGTCATGCTCATCAATCTCATGAGAAGAGTAGGATGTTGCTCTGATTCCACCCTCTTCAATGCCATCAAACAATGCAGCTCTGTTGCTGCGATGGTCCCTAGAAGAGAGAATATCTTAAAATATATAACGACAGCAATGCCATGATATACCCTAATACATCTATTTGAGCATGCAAGGAAATGGGCGCAAGAAAATAAGAAGGTAAATAATAAAAGGAACAAAGATAATTAATTGCAAATAAAATATATCTTAAAAGCATGGGAGACTTAACATTTGATTAACCATATAAAAACCAAACTTACAAGCCACAAAATTAAATAAATGGAGACTTGAAAAGATTAAGTAGGGTATATTTGGTTAAGTGGATAATGATAGTATTCATTCTAACATGCAGAGGTTATAATTTTTTAGGTCTTTGGTTGAATGTCAAAGGAATAAAATGTTTTGCTCTAAGAGATTTTGAAGAAATACAACGGTTCATTTTTTAGGAAATTGAATTTGTCCAAATCAAGCAATGTCTGAATCCCTGCATTCATCGATCTCAACTTCGCGCATCCCAGTACTAGAGAACCTCATCAGAGCATCTGAGTGCTCGTGAAGAGCAGCATAGACCTCATGCTCATCTAGCGATTTTGCTCATAAATCACCCTCCATTGCTCAGTCCAGATCACCCTACACTGCTGCTAATTTTTCCATTCCTTTTACTCCTACCTGCATGGTAATGGGCCCGAACACTCCCCACATTGCCACTAATCCCAGACCACCTAGCCAACCTCCTACCATCGTATGTGTCCTATTTATATTTTTAAAAGGGTATTTAATATATACAGCAACAGCAACAACAAGCCTATCTCACTAAGCAGGGTCGGCTACATGAATCATTTTTCTCCATTGCATCCTATTGAGTGTCATATTTTCATTTAATTCTAATAAATTAAGATATTTTTTTATACAATATGCCCAAGTTTTTCTACGTACACCTCTGCCTTTCTTCACAAAAGTCGAATCTAAAATATCTATTCTCCTAACCAGATTATCATATGGTCGGCATTTAATGTGACCAAACCATCTAAGATGACTCTTTCTAAATTTGTCCGCCACTGGAGCTACACCAACTATCACAGATATATTCATTTCGCATTTTGTCTCCAAGCGTAAAGCTACTCATCCGTCTAAACATTCTCATATTTGTGTGTGCGTGTGTGTGCATACATACATATGAATACAAAACTTCCAATTCATTTTAAGTCAAATTGAAAAAGAAATATATTTCCTAAATTTATTTTAAACAAGTCAAATAACCTATTTTAAATGCACAAAGTTGACATTATATTTAAAAAGCGCATAAAATCTGAATACATACAACTAAACGGTCATTTACTATCAGGGAATCAATTTTGCTTAATTTTACAAAAGTCTATAATGAAAATAATTTTTTTGTAAAAATAATTAATGAGAAAATTATAGTGAATGGAGAAAAATTATTCAAGTGATTATAATAGATCTCGAGAAAATAAATGATCAAACACCACAATAATGATTTGGTGCTTATAAAGTAAAAAATGCCAATGTCAAACGTATGTTCAAGTTATTAAAAATATGTACACAATTAAGCATTGACTAATATTAGCAGTTGTGAAGTAACAAGAAAAAAAAATCAATGAAAGTTGGATCATATCAAAGATTAGCATAAGTCATATCTTTTTTATTGGTTATGAAGATGCTAACGAATAATATTCAAGTTGATGTGCCATTGTCAGAGCCTTTTTGTATATTTTCAACTTTAGAGGGTGTGATATTAACACAAATGAACAAATATTATCAGAAGATGAACAGTATATTTGTGTGAATGCTTTAAGTAATTTGGATCTATTATTTAAAAAAAATAAGGATATAAATGAGAATATAATTTTTAAAGTTAAAGTAAGATTGTCTCGGGAGTATCATTCAATGAGATAATGCGAAAAAAAATATAAAAAAAAAAGTTTTATAAAATTATAATTTGGACAAAGATATTATATGGATATGAGTGCCAGAAAAATAGATTAGTTGTTGATTGTTAACTTGCACATATCAGAGGTAATAATGCAGGATAATTACGTGATAAAATTAGGAAATGTAAACTAAATAATTAGAAAATAGATTAGTTGTTAACAGTTGCATATGTCGGAGGTGAGAATGTCAAAAAAGTTATGTCATAAAATTAGGAAATGTAAACTAAATAATGATTACATTAAAGGAGCTATTGGAGTGACGTTTATTGAAAATATGATTAAAAAAAACTTAACTTGGGAGCTTTGCACAGGCACAATTAAAGGTAGCAAATACGCATTAGATGGGTAAATAAAATTAGTGTCCCTAAAGTAGCACGGATAGACATAGTTCAAAGTAATTTACAAATAATACCTATGATGCCTTGGACATCCCTATGCTGAAGAATGAAAAAAAAAACATAAAGCAAACCACAAATGGTTGAGATAAGTCTTAAAATAATAATGTTAAGGTTAATTTAGGCTTATGAAAAAAAATCCTTTTCTCCCTATAGCATCATATAAATAAGCATGAAACAAAATAGAGCAGTGGGTACTATTCAGAAGAAAAAAATTACAAATCTTGGCCTCCTGTGACATTAAATAATATAATTAACATAACAGAGTTTTTGTAGACATATGGGACAATGTCTTCGCCAAATTTTTCTGACTAGCCAGAATTAAACATTGTCCAAACCTACTTATTTATGTTGTATCCATTATTACTTTCTGATAACTTCAAATGATAAATTCTATTCAGATAAACAAATATGACACAACAGGTTGGTAAAAAAGAATGTTCTGATTGACTGTGAGCATCAGACACAAAGAGAGGGAGAGAGATGGAATAAGAATAATCGTGTGCAAACCTTCTTGAATTCATGATTCTTCTTGATTCTGGCAGAGTGGTAAGCAATTTGAAAGAAGCAATGGATAACCTAGATCATGAACAATACAATCTCATCAGAACTAACTGCAATTAAAAAGAAGCATAGTTTTCCCATCAGAAATAAACACAATCAATTTAAAACATAGTTTTCAAGATGTCAGAGCATAGCAATATGCATCTTACCATTTAATCAAACAAATTTATCAAACCGTGAAGAATCGCCTAATAAAAAATAGAAAATTGTTCTCAAATAGTTCCTCTTTTAAAAATAAAAGTTAATTCCATAACAACCGGGATAGGCACGAGCTTGTGCGCAGTAGACTCAAAACTTCAAGGAAACAAACCAATTAAGAAAATGAACTCCTGATGTCTAATATTGAACAACGATAAACTCTGATTCAGCAGTGATTTGCTCGAACAACTGAAGGAAGACTTAAGCCACGCGTTTCAGAGCCAAAATAACAGTGTCCTACTAATAGCAACCCCATTTAGACTTCGATTCAGAATATTTTGCTGGTGCCCCAACTAGATAGCCCGGAAAGGGAAAAAAAAAATTTCCTATACATACATAACTAATCTCGTCATGTATACATCAGAGAGATGGAACATTCAATTTCTATAGATTCTACCCCCAATTTGTTCAAATACATGATTAAGCAATCCAAATTGAGGCGAGGATATCAATTCAAGGAGCAATCAAGCATGATCTATAACTTTCCATGGAAAGAAACGAAGAACGAATTGAGATACCATCAGATTCTTCAAGACGTGAACTGATGAAGAGGGAAATCTAAGAAAAGCAAGCGCCAATTGTAAGAGAGATGAAGAACCTGTCTAGTCGCAGATGGAGAAACCAGAACGCTTCGAGATCTCGAAAGCCAGAAAAAGAGGACTGATCTACTTGCTCCGCTCGCAGAAGTAGGAGTTCACCTGACCAAAAGGGTTTATAGTTCGTGTCGATTCGGGTCACCCGTAAATGGGTTCGCCATATTTTGTATATCCAACTACTTATTAAGAAAATTTACACGCATTGATACATGACACATAATTTTTATATATATTTAAAATTTATTTTTTGATAATTACATTTGTGATAGTTTGGTATCATAAAATTATGCGTGAAAATGTGTGATACGTTTGAAAATATAATGATGTTGGTGTTTTTGAATTAATTTGATAAAGTTATTATTCTGCATGTAAAATTGAAAGTTTAAATATTAGGCGCATGAATATATATTAATAGTGAAGTGTAAATGCCCATTTTCTGTTATATTTTTGTAATAGTTGATAGGAACGTGATAGATGTAATAAGCTTTATATATATATATATATATATATAAAGAAATGGTAAGAGATTGTGATTCGAGCACCGGCTACCCCTCATGCGTCAAATAATTTGAATATCACACCCTACCCCCTCATGCGTCAAATAATTTGAATATCACGCCCTACACTCGAGAGAGGGGAGGGGGAGGGGGAGGGGGAGCGGGACTTACAACTGATCTAAGTACACGGTGTGCGTGTGCG